ATATAGATCTCATTAGATCTAGTTATGTTTATGATCCTGCATTTATAAGCATTACATTTTTCTTGAAAGTTCATTATTCAGCCAGCAAATATTATGAATATTCATTTTTAAAACCTTGAATTGACAGAAACTGTAAAATCATCTTCCTTTTCTAAATAATTTATTATTATACTGAACAATGCAAGCCTCAGAACAGATCCTGGGCATCTCCTTTTCTTGTAAAATCAGCTGGTTTTTTCTACTCTTTTCTGGTATACTTGGATGAGATCTGAAATTTAATGGGATCTTTGATGCTACAATTTCAGCTTTTTTCCTTCGAAATGAATGCTGTAAACCAGTTTTAAAATCTACACTCTACTACATAACCTGTATTTCCTATGTCTTCCTGCTCTTGAGAAGCTTTCCAATCCTCTGGTAAATTTGTGAGGTACAACTTTCTTCTGCAATACTACTGTCCATTCTTCCTTACTATAAAATATTTGTCACTTTTTGATTGATGAATGGATATTTTATGAAGGCTTCTACTAGTTTTCCTAATATGAATGTAAGATTTCACAGTCTGCAGCTCCTTAATCCTTTTTGGAAGGTTTTTTTAAAATCCCATTGTTTTTAACTCCGTTGTTAAGATAATTACAAATATTAGCTCTTCCCATTTGATAAATAAATTCCAACTCCTTTTCTGAAAACATGGACCTGTCATTAGCTGTGCTGTGCAGTTAAAAAAAGGATGCAAATTTCTATATCTCCTCTGTGTAGTAAAAACAACCACAAAATTCTGCTTTGCTTAAAGCAGTTCCCTTGTCCCACTGAAGTGAGCAGCTTTTCCTTCACAGCAGAAAGCAGGTATTAGTAATGCAGTTAGTCATTGCAGTCACATCCCTGCAATCTGCCGACTGAGGCAAGCTGAGAAACCAGCTGAATCAATGACTTCACCTCTGTTTACTTTAGTGGACAGGAATTAAGGACTTACTTAATTGTACTGGGAGTTGGATACCTGCATACTCACAGAATGTGCTGAGAAGGATTGAAATTCTTCCTTCGGGCAGGAAAGGTTTTTATTTGCTACATTTATTGCCACTGATTTCTGTTTTATCTCAGGGTAAGACCTGGAGAGGTTTGGTTCACTCTCATGAAAAGCAAACCAATTTCAGGATCACAGTGTCAGGATTTCTCTTTGAATTTATAGGACTTGAAGCCTTGGGCATCTCTGTCCAAAATTCTATATATGTCTACAGCTTGGGGTTTTTTTGATGGCTGTGTTTTTATGTTGTTTAATGTGCTACCCCTCCACATTGTTGTGATTTTAGAAAGCACTAGTCCCTGTGGCAGAAGTAATCTTCTGCCTTATTGAAGTGTGTATGTTCCCATCAGCTTCTTAGGAAAATTTAACTTCCTAACTTAGATTTCTCTGGCCAAGACAGCTATGAAAGTCTAGCAGTGTAGAACACTGCCATCAGGAAAACAGGGTTTGGAACTGAAAAAGTTTCTGCTGGGCTGATGGAAACTTGGCACATTGTATGATAACTTAATGAATGCTGCTGGAAAATAGACCCTAAAACTCCTGGCAGCAGAAAGTAAGCCAGAGCTGGAGGTTTAGTAAACAAGCTGCTCATGCACAATCCACAAGGGTGGGACTGCTGTTGGTCACTGCAACTTCAAGTGCTGGCTGTTAAGGGGCAAGGGACTAAGGCAGAGAGGAGCTGCACCAGCAAGCTCTCCCAGATCTCTCCCCACTCCCACCCTCTCTTAAAACACATGCCAGAAAAGAGCTGCCATACAGGCACTGTCCTCTAAGGTGGTGAGACCGTGCTTTAGCATTTTATTCAGGTATCTGAGTGACTGCTGTATTTGCAAAGTCTAAAATACATAGCCTCAAAGGGCCCCCTTGGCTGTCACTTAACACTGCAGAGGTTGATTATTATAAGAACTGAAGTTTTTATCAGTTAAATTTCTTCCATGTCTAAGTTTGCAACTGCTCATACATTGGAGTTGCCAAAACATCGTCATGTGACTGCCTTTAGCTTAGGTTTCAAACATATTTGAGGTATATAAATCAGACATTATTCTGCCTGACTGGCTGGCAGGGCCTAAACCAGCCAGCAGACTCAGATCAAATCTAAATTTCTGCTCTTCATTTAAAGTGAGACCAGATGACATAATACCCTTTTTACTTTTGTGGTTACAGCATTACAGCATTATCCTGTACTTAATTTCCTTCTCTGCTTGAGTGCTTATCTCAGCAAGTGGATGATGAGGTGCTCATTCTGACGGAGAGCTGTGTCAAACTGCTGTCTGGGGTGTGTTTTGAGACAGCAGGAAGAGGCTTATGTTCAAATTAAACAGGAAATATTCACTGGGGAGGTGGTGAGAGCCTGGACTCTTCATCTTTCCTATCCTGGATGAGCAGGTTCTAGATGACACGAATTTCACTAGATGATGGTAAGGGTTTTTGTATCCTTTAGATTTCACTGCAGAGAGAAGGACAAATTACTGTGCTCTGAAGTGCTCAGTAATCTTAAAAATTGGACATCCAAAACATGCAGATGCCCATTGCCCTGTGCTGGAAAAGTCAAAACTCTGTCTCCCAGTCTGAGGTGCGAGATTTAATTACACAATAGGATAACAGAGGGGTAATTACACTCCTCCTCCTGTGTCTTGTGAGAAAGGGGTTGTTTAGGGACCTGCAATCAAGGACAGATGATTTCTGCTGGGTCCAGGGCTGCCAGATCTGTCTCACAGCAGCTGCTCATCCCTACCTTCTTCAGGCTGTCAGCACAAACACACAAATTTGCTTCAGGCACAACAAAAGATATCAGCTCTAACAGTGCAGATTGTTGGCATCAACTTGGTTGAATTTCCTTGGGGTAAGGTAGGGAGTTACCCCACAGACTGAGTCAGTCATGGGTGGCCTGGGGCAGGAATCTCCATCTAGGGAAAAGAGAAAACATCTGCTCCTGCCCTAATTTCAGGAGGGAGTTCAAAGTTAAAAATACCTTAAGTGGGATTTTTTTCCATTTATTTCAGAACTCCATGCTGAAATGGGTTTAAAGGCTCTGGATGCACTTAAATCTCTCTTTGGAACAGTCCACTACCTAATCATGCTTTTCTTCAAGTAAGCTCTGTTTCTCTCTCGCTTGGAGTCTGGTTCTGGTCTCCTTGAAACTATTCCCAAAATGCCCCTCAGTGTGGCAGCAGAAAGACTAGAGAATGCAGGGACAAGTGCTGTGCAGTGTGTCACCTCCACTATCCTGAATGCCTCCAGACAGGTTGAGAAGGTCCCTGTCCCCAGCAACCTCTGCAATTCCCAGATTCTGGCTTCCTTCTTAAACCTCTCCTCTCCTTCCTCTTCTTGAGTACTTTTTCTTCTCGCCTCCTTTTTACTAGATCTGAACTTTGACTGATACTGCATGGGGCTTTTTTCTGCAGATTTAGAAGCTTCAGCAAATTCTGCCAGGGCCAGGAGAGCCTGGGGAAGGGAGAATGAAGGAATTGGGATGGGTTGGTGTGTATCAGGTGTGCATCAGCCAGCCTTGATCCATTGTCACAACTACTCGTGCAATTGCTCCTTGACCAGTTCAGCCACATGGACATTAGTTTCAACAGATTAAGGGCCAAAAACCTTGGATCTTTTTGACCAAACAGGTTAGAAATGAAGTACATTAGCACTTTATCTTGGTGGATCTGATGGCTCTAATGGAATGAGAAGATGGAGCTTGGGATGAAATAAGCTATAGGTGTCTATAAAATTATACCCAGTCCTAACTCTACATAGAAGGGAAAGTGAAATGTCAGCTCTGTGTGCCAGCAAGGTCACTGAATCTCACTAGGACTAAGAAATTTCAGAAGAAAGCATCATCCAGGAGTAAATTCTAAGGGTGTATTTTTGGATTTGTAATTTCCAGGTTACAGACTTCTTGGTAAAAACTTTTAGTATGTTTACCAGGGGGTGACCTGATATATATGGCTTTTTAGAAATAAAGCAACTTTTCCAGATTCCTAGTCATTTCATCTTTCATATATTTTTCTCCGCTTTGTGCTGAGAAGGAAAAAATTTGCTAATACGAATTGTATAAAAGTCAGAGGGAGAGAGAAAAATAAAATTATTCACAAAATTTTATTATAGATGCCAAGAATAGGAGAGTAGAAGTGGTTTTTTATGTGGTCTTATAGAATCACAAGCTGTGATTTTCCCAGATAGTAAAATTAGCATCTATATTGCTAGGACAAAACTCCAGATTAGCTCTGTTAAGAAGACAAAAGGAAAGGTAAATAGGAGCTTTAAATATGGGTATGCTTATTTCCTTTCAGACTTGAGTCATCAAAAGAAAAGTAAATTTAATTTCATTTGGGAGGTTAGACCAATTACTGTGTGGCAGAAGAGTATGCTAACACATGCTTTAGACTTTGCCTTCATTTGACTGGAAAGTGACTACACAATGATGTGAACAGAGTTTTAAGTCACTTAATGTCTTTTGTGTACTGAAAAAGCAGGAGTGGCAAAAAGACCTCCCTCTTCATATCAGCAGCAGAAATGAAAATGTATTCATCACATCAGTGGGGTTAATTTCTTAAAAGATTTAAACAAGATAGTTCTGGTAGGGTTAAGATAGCGTTAATTCCCCAATTAAAGAAATAATCCTACTGGTAAACCTATGACATTTTCTTTAACTTGATATTTTTTAAACATTATTTGGACGAAGTTTGTTTAAATTGAGTGTAAGTTTTACAGTATTATACATCAAATATATTGTAGCTTAAAATACATATTACTTATGAATATCACAGTGAGGTTTAATTTGGGTTTTGATTTGCATGTGTGTAAGAAACAACTGAAATATCTTATATTTTCAACTACATAGTTAATAGTCCCTCTGCTGAGGATAAAGCACGCTACATTATAATTTAAAGCTATCTTTATTCTAACTGTTTACAGTATTCTTTTCGTAGAGGTAAATTTGTATTCCAGTAATCATCATCATCATTATATCATAAGCCTCTGACATGCAATATTGCTAATCTGCTGTATCCCTTAGTTTGCCACAGTTCATTGGCACTATTATTGATATTGATGGCTTTATTTTTTCCAGACATTAAGTGAGCAATTCATCAAGAGAACAACAAAGACTGGAATAGAAAGATAAAACATCCAGGTCAGTAACTCACCGAGTGTCTCACACCTAGAAATGGTGGAACACACAAAAGCCATGAGCTGATTTGATACATGGACATGCCAACATGAGTAACAGCAGGAGTGTCAGCGTGTATAAGGGCACAGGTGCTTGCTGTGAACCCAGACTTTCATCTTACTATATATTTCAGTCATAAAAGACCTGCTGGCAAAGATCTGAGGCATAAAAAGAAAAAAGAAAAGAAAAAAAACCCACCAGTTAATCAATAATAAATTGTTTCCAAATTCATTTTTATGTAATACATTTCTAAATAAATGTACAGATTTTCAAACCAGCATGCAGGGACTAAGAAATATTCCACCATCTAAAGATGCAGACAAGTGCTAGGAGAGATTTACAGAACTAACTTGGGCCCAGACTTCCCAGCATTTTGACATCAGATGATGGTCTTGAAATTAATTCAGGCCCTTTTATAAAGTAGGAGCCTATCAAGATTGTGAGAGGAGTCCAAGCTCATGATATGGTCAGTGGACAGTATTAGCTAGACCACAGAAATATCTCTTTCCATTGCCTGTAAAATGCCCCATGTGCATTTTTAGTATCCGCTTATTTGAGCAAACTGATGGGAAAAGGGTTTAGCACTGAAAATCCCGTTATGTATGCTCACCCCATACTTTTCAATTACTAAATCCAAGCATAAGTCCATCTCTAAGTAAATGCTGCCGGTTTTGTAACTGAAAAGTTCGTGACTAAAAATGCTGTTCTTTTAATAAGACCACCAAGAATGAGAATGAAGTTGGAATTATTTTAAAATATTAAAATATTTCTGTGCACAAGAAAACAACCACATTTTGCCTTATTTTACATAACTGGCAATCAGATGAAACAATCCTGAAATGAAGGAATACTATTTTGTTGATGTTTGAGATAAAAAGATGAGAACCTGGCATAGTATTTTTATCCTGATTATTAGGAATCTGCATTGGTAGTACCCTGGACTAGCCAGTAGGCAAGTCACTTCACAGAAGCATAAAATCCAACCTCTAATCTAATTTCTAGGCTATATTTTATGTATTTGCTGTTTTATATCTTTAAACATGAAAAAAAACCCCAAAATCTAAATTTATCAGTATTCCCCATTATCAGCTAAGGTAAAAGTTTGAACATCTCAGTGAGAACATTCATGAAACTTAGGCTCGAGATCACTTTCTACTTTTCCAGTTTTTTCTTTTGTGGTTTTTGGTCATTTTCTATTACTGTGACATCAATTTGATTTCTTAAAAATGTAAATGCAGACCACAAGATAAGACAGGAGATATGTCCTTTTTTATCATTTTGCCACATTCGCAATGCCTTTCTCAATGCATGTCCCGTTTATTGCATGTCATGATTTCTTCAATGTGCTTTTTCTTTCCCAAATCCTCTGTGTTAAAGAACATAAGCAATGCCTGAGATGGGTTTCATTCCTTTTCAGGTCATGCCAACATAGCATTAGCCATGCCAAGGATGGTGAATTGCAATGATTCTCTAATAGATTTTCCCCACTCGTAAGTCATCACTTAGGAATTTGTCTGCTTTTATTGTTTTTTTATCTTTTCAGAAGAAATTAGAGTTACTGAAAACATGTGTCTTCCCAAAGGATATATTCTGCCCTTGGATGAACGTGAATGTGTGTAACTGTCAGTAGATTTTTTCTTTCTGCAAGAAACTTTAAATTTTGCCTAATCATTTTAACAAAAGCAGAAGGTTTTGTTTTGTTTTCTGCAGCATTATCTGCTGCAGAAAATATCTGTTTTGTATTCTGTAGCATGCCAAAAAAGACCCCAAACAAAATAGCAAAACTCAAAAAAACCAAGAAACCCAAACCCAAGGAAGCCAACCCCAACTATGAAGATATTTATTTCATTTGAACCTAAAAACATTACTTTTGCTAGCTGTGTGCCTGACTTGAGACCCTTTAGCTTGGATCACTCCAGAAAGCCTAATTCTCCTTGGAGAAAAAAGGTAGGGCAGTAGGTTCCACCTACTAAATGGATTGCTTTGGGAAAAAATGAAAACAACCAAATCCCTAAGTAAATATGTATGAGTTAAGGAGATAAAAAAACCAAAAAAACAAAAACAAAACAAAAGAGAATTTACTATTCTTACTAATTTGATTCCAGGTTTCAGATGGCTCACAAGGCCTTTTTGATGTATTGAAGTAAATACAGTGGTGGGGCAGTAGTTCAAGAGCAGAATGTGATAACTTGTAGCCATGAATATCACTTGTATTTTTAGTTATGTATCTGTAATTCTACTGCTTGCTACTTGCTACTTTAATCTCTATTTTTATATTCTTTTTTTTCTAACACACTCACCCTGTTTGTTTTTTTTTGTGATGTTAGGTTCCTTGCTGTACCTACAATTTGTCTGACTACGCTCGTATCTTTTTTCCCTTCTTTGCCTTCTCTGTGTTTATAATTAGGGAGCTCATTGAAAAGCCTGTCCTTGCTTATAAAAGTCATGGACTAAATGCAGCTTTTGGAATTCTAGGCCAGCACCTCACAGGGACAACACTGGTTATGGCTGGACCACATGTGGTTTTCCAGTTTACTGTTCCCAATGCTCACCACATCCTCTGTCAAAATGATCCATGTTGTCTAAATGTCCCTTTATAACCTGTTGGAACTAACCTAGCTCTTTCTGATTGGAGTGGGGTGAAAATCAGGCATAGGTTTGAGAAATACTCCATTTCTGCATTTGGAGAAAAAGATAGATTATATGTATTTTCCAAATTATTATTACAATTTTTTTTTTTTACATTTCCATCTGTGTCTAGGTACATTATTAAATAGGTTCTATTATAGCCTTTTGTCTGTAAACTAAGAGTCTTTCAGATAATATGGATCTTTTAGATCATTTAAAGTCATACAATCTGCTTGTGCTGCTTTGTAATAATTCAGAGAAACCATGAACATTTTCAGAAATTGCAATAAAGCTACTGTTTCTAATGATAGTTTTGAAAAAAAGAGTGAAGAGCCATCTTATTCTAAGTACGTTTTCTTAATTCTGAGATAAGCAGTTAGACATCTGACATGGTAAATAATACACACGTTATTGGATAATTCTCAACAAGCAATCAAAAGAATGTTTAGAGGATCATTTAATATGATCTTGTCAAAATAATCACTTGTTTTATTTAGATTGTAAGTTTGGTCAAAATCAGTGTTACACTATACTAGACTTCTATAATACATTGCTTGATATCCCACAGTTTTGTGTTTCAGTCAAAAATTTAAATGACAAAAGACAAATACAAGGTGTAAAGAAAATATTATGTGCAATATGAATTTGTTCTTTGTCAGTCACTCCTGAGGCAAGATGGCTCAAGACTCACAATTTGTTCTTATGTGAGTAATTTCTTATTAGGTGCTTACCTGGGTCTGTATTCACCTGTGTGTGCACTGTGAGGTCAGGCAAAATGGTATGGTACAATCCAGTGGAAGCAGGCTAAAGCTAAGAAAAATCAATAGACAAATTATAATAATAGACAAATTAGAATAATAAAACAGTTAGTAATAAGGACAGTTAGTCACTCGAACCAGTTCCCTGAGTGCTCTGTGGACATCTCTTCAACCAGTGTTTTAAAATCAACACTTGCTATATTTCTAAAATAAGTGTAGTAGTTCAGCTAAATCATGTCTTTTGAATCATTAGTCTGAAGTCCAAAGAGGAGAAACAAAGACACATCCTTTTACTCTTCTGATCAGTTTATCCACCAGTGGTATTAGACTGGATTCTGTGCTTGTGTCAGTTTCCCAGTTTGTTTGGAACGTCTACTGTTTTGAAATAACACTTTCTATACCTTTTTATTTTCCCTAAAGTATTCTTTATTTTCTTTAATTTTTAAACATTTAGCCACTTCCAAGAGAAGGCACTGGAAACGTAATATTTTCTACAGTATAAATGTTTCTGGAATTATTACTTATCATAGATACTGAAAAAAATGAGTACAGAAAATACATTGATGATGAAGACTGAGTGTTGGGTTCAATTTTGCTTTGTACTGAGTATTGCAAATATTACTTTGTAAGGCAGCTTTTTACCCCCAGTTGGCACCTGGAAGCAAAAGAAATTTTGTTGCACTTTGCTACTTTTTATAGTAGAGGATAGCTGCTGATGCTTGCTTTAAAAAGAAAATATTGCTGAAATTAATGGCAAAATTTCCAAGACCAAAAAAGACATGGAACAAAGGCTGCCACAAAATCATTTATCTTTGAACATATCCTCTGAACCACTGAACAGAATAATGAACAATATATGAGTAGATGTTTGCATTCACATTGAATTCACATCTGCTTAGATATGAAAGTGACATTCCTCAGGTGAGTTCATTGATTTCCTGCCAAAACATTTTTAATATAATAATATAAAAAAAGAATATTCTCTTCATTTACGAAATGTACAAACTTTTGCTGATGGATTACACAATTTGAAAGCAAGAATTTTTTTTCTTTAGAAAATTCAAACCTAGGAACTATTTCAAGCAATCAGACACAAACCATAGTAACAGACCATTAAAGTAATTCTGCTAAGGTTTAAAAAAATCAAGACACAGATATTCAAGTATGTCTATTAATTTTGGCCCCCTGTGAATATGCATTATTAAATAGTTTTAAATGTTCTTACAGTCTACTGTACCGTGCATACAAAATTGTGTTTTCTAGAAGTAATTTAAAATTAGTAAAATAAAGCTGTGAAAAGCTGTTTACTGAGTAATGCCACATTAGTTTTAAAACTGAGCTATGCCATTAGAATATAAACATGTTGTTAAGCACTATGGATAAATAATTTTGTGCTATAATGTACAATTATGAACTGATCAGTCTTAAGAAATTGTGGCCAGGATTGGCACCTGAGCAATTTGAAAGTTCTCCATCATACACAGTGCTTTTTGCAAATGTGCCCTTTATTATTATTATTATATATTAAAATTAACATTTTGTATTAATGTGCTAATGTCTCACCCCAGCTCATGCACTGTGCAAACAGTGGTGTGCATTGGACAGCTTGGGGACAAAACTGTGGTTTCTCCTCATACAATATAGCAGCTATTCACAATCCAGTGTTAAAATTTGCATTGCTTAGGGTTACTTGTCTTGTCCAGAGCACATCCAGACAGCTCTTAAGTTATCATAAACATTTCTATACAGTAATCTTATCATCATTCCTGTTACCTGTCTTCAGCTTGCATGTAAGCCCCTCCTAAAAAGAGGTGCAATCAGTGGCAATATAAATATCAATGCATTTATCAACATTTGCTGAAAAGTTAGCACCCACACTAGCTCTGAAAATATAGTAAGTGAAGATATTTTCAGACCTACCTGAGAACCAAAGTATTGTCCTGCTCCACTAGTTCACATAAAATTAGAGAAGGCTGATATCTGTCTGACATTGGCTGAAGCACCAGGCAGTGCAGTAACTTCAAGAGAGCAGATCAATGCTGATCTACCTGTGTTTGTGGCACCAGGAGGCATCTGTGCACATGGATGACTGTCACCTGGGGGTGGGCTGGGCTCTGAATGAATGGAATCCCACCTGAATACACAGGACACATACGCTCTCTCTGCTTTCTTCTGCAACATTTGATGCCCATTGCTGTTCAGCATGAAAGAAGAGGTTTCTTCATATATGCATAAGGCATTAGTGTAAATGATTATCAGCATATTTAGTTAATGCATCACTTAGTTTTTGACCAGGAAAAGAAGTGGCATCAGCACCTGTGGTTCATTGACCAAAGATTGAGAAGAACTGTACTTTCCCCTCAGGTAGACATATTGCATTTTTTCTTGATTGCAGGAAAAGCAATTTTCCTGAAAGTAATTTAATACCATGCAATTGTTCCTACTCACTTCTCACTCTTTATCTGTTCTGCTGTTAATTAGAAGACCACATTTTTTAAAAGATATCATATCACTTGCAGTTACAGTTATGAACTTCACCCAGGGAGCGTTGTTTCCCATGCTGATCTCAAACCAGGCATGAACACATAAGCTAACGTCATTTGCTATGCTCATAAGAGCAGAAAAAAAATTAATTTCTGTTGGTGTAGTAAGCTCCTCATTTAAGTGCCACAGCCTTCAGTTTGAGGATCCTAAATGAAATACTTTAGGATATAGGTCAAAAGAGGAGAGTGAGTATTTGCAACAGGAAGTTAAAGTTGTCATTCAGGACAGCAGCACAGCACAGAACTCTGACATTGAACTGTTCTTCTTTTAAAATAGGCCTCACACACTGTAAGCAACCAGACTGAATGTAGAGTGTTTCCACAGTCTCTCATGATTTTCTAATTGGTAATTAATGATGGATTGTTACTTGCACATAATGAAGTTATTTTCCACAGGGTTATAGTGTGAACAGACATCTGGTAATGTGCATAAGTGAAAGAGAATCATAAAAATTAGAGTGTTAGGTTATAGGACTCTTTGAGGTAAACAAATTCCCTTTCCTAGAGATAGTCTTGTTTGAATTAAATTTTGAACTATCAACAAAAATCACTCCATGGGAA